TTACGGCCATACCACCCTGAACACGCCCGATCTCGTCTGATCTCGGAAGCTAAGCAGGGTCGGGCCTGGTCAGTACTTGGATGGGAGACCGCCTGGGAATACCAGGTGCTGTAAGCTTTTTCGCTTCTACACACAAACTGCAGAGGGCGCTGCTGCTCAATCAGTGGAGACATCTTCAGTAAATACTCACCGATAACATTTCTAAAACTGATGCTTGGAAAATGCTCACTTTTAAAAGCTTCGTATCAGGTTTCTTCACGCCGGTTCTCTGGTTGTGAAAGTCCAGCGACAAAAATGATCCTCATTTTTTCCTAGAGAACATTGAACAAATGTGCTTTTCTTTTTTAGATCTATAGTTTATTCATTTGACCTACATTTGGTATGGCATTTTAAAGAGTTTTACCTTTGTGACTTTGAAATATCATCTTATATATTATACTTAAAGATTTTATCTAAAAATATACGTATTTAACTTTATTATAATGATTTTATTTCAGACAATGTGATGTAACTTGATACAAATAGTTGTTTTCTGTCTGACAGAACAGGAAGCATCAACTTCATAGTAGCTATTTGCATAATTAAGACATCAACTATAAGTGTTCCCCAAATTTCCTGCACACATGAGGAATTCCCATTCCTCATGTGTGCCATGTTGTCTGCAAACCTGACAGTTCAAAAAACCTTGTGTTGATTACGGATGGCGGTTATTTCCTGAAACAGATAGCACTTGCATTAGATAACTACAGAGCACTGCTTCTTTAATGAGCATTTTGATTATTTGCATTTAGTATTCACTGATATTATGCTCATTAAAGGGGGGATCCACTGTGTCCTCCTTCAAAATCCTGTCGGCCAACTTCAACAAGAAGTTAGTTTGAGTGATGCAGAAGTGTTCAGAATAATCAGTGATGCATTTATCTGAACTGATAAAAGATCAGTCACTTTCTTACCATAAATTCATTTCACATGAGGTTAGCTCTTGTTGATGTGGGTGTCTTTAGGTATCACATCACCAGCAGGAGAAGATGACACCTCAATGACTCATGAAAGCTCTGTTTCATTCATATCCCTGCACATTTTCAGTTCCTCCTTGGAAGCCTCCACCATATTATCAGTTATTTGTAGCTGACTTGACCTGGTGAACTTTCCTCTCGTGGATATTTTGTGGGAGAAATCATTTCAATGAATGAGGAAAAATATCACAATCACAGCAGTTATGGCAGGATCCTTTAGACTTCGCTTTCTTGTTTCACTTGCATAAGTGTATATTCTACATGTTGATGTTTTTTCCTCATTGCCTGTTTCTCATCATGTTCTTGCTTGCCTGCCATCTCTCATTAAATAAACTAAAACAACTAAGCTGCTGCTCTAGAGAATTTTATTAACCTGAAAATGAAGCACTTGTGAAACCACACACACTATTCGGTTTTAAAATCTCTGGCGCAGAGAGGAGTTTTATACTCATTATATGGAACAGTTAATGATGTGATGATAATATAATGCTCTGTTGACAAAGTTATAGAGGTAATGATTACATTTTGTCTTAGTGCTGAGGTCTTAGTGATGGAGTTGATGTGGACTGCATTATTCTGCACCATGTGTGCAATTAAAACAGACAAAAAATACAAAAATCTTTCAGACTAAGTATTTCAATATAGTCTGTCTGTTCATGTGCACAAAAAAAATGTAAAGAAGCTCTAGATACAGTGATACTGATTGACTACTTACAGCAATGATTAAATATTGGAACTGAAATTATTTGTATTATTAAATTTGTTTGTTTTAATTTTTTAATCTCAGCGAGTCCATCAGACAGCTGTGGAGGTTCAGATTCAGTAGAGTGGACATCATCACTGACATCATCACTGAGGTTCTTTGTACAGAGTTGAAAACAGGAAGAAGCTACAGACTGCAGCAACATCTACTGACAGTCTGGAAACTAAAGCCAGGAGATAATGTTGGTGCATCTTTGACATGCTGAAGCTTTCAGACACATGAATCACACTGAGCAGAACCTCAGTGATCCTTGCAGAAAATACCCACCAGAAAAGTGAATTCACTGAGTTTGTATCATTTGCATTGTAAAGATATATATATATAATTTTATTTATGTATTTGTTTACAAAAACTAAAATCCTCAGTTTTAGAAATGTTATCAGTGAGTATTTACTGAAGCTGTCTCCACTGATTGAGCAGCAGCGCCCTCTGCAGTTTGTATGTAGAAGCGAAAAAGCTTACAGCACCTGGTATTCCCAGGCGGTCTCCCATCCAAGTACTGACCAGGCCCGACCCTGCTTAGCTTCCGAGATCAGACGAGATCGGGCGTGTTCAGGGTGGTATGGCCGTAAGCGAGAGAAACGCTATATAAAAGACCTTTTATAGGTGGCAAATATCACACAGTTCAATAAATGTTATTGTGGTACATTTCATATGTTACAGCGAAAAGATGTAAACCTTCGTTATTAACTGTAACTTCAACATTGATCTGCAAAAATGCTTTTCCTGCAGTAACATCTGGATAATAACACATGTTGGTTTATTACAGCACAGTACAAGTGATAGAGAGCACACAGTGCGTTAGGACGATTTGGAAGTCAAACATTGTTGTTGTTTGGAGACTTTAAGTTACATATAGCAGATAAAAATGTAAGCGTGTATGTGTCATTACACCATTACTGTGGGGGGTTTTAAGCTCTTTCGCTTATGCCCATACCACCATGAACACATCAGATCTCGTCTCGGAAGATAAGCAGCCTTGTCAGCACTTGGACAGGAGACCATTGTTAACACCTAGCAGAAGGCACCTTTTAACACAATGCATTCTTTGTTTGCCCAATTGTTGCTTCCTCAACATGTTTCTTCTATTCCTCAGTCACAGCCAGTGATGCCAGTACATAACAAGCCTTGTCTTCTGCTTGGGCAAAACCCAGGTTACAGCAGTCCACCAAATGTCTCGGTTGGTAGAGTCTAGATTTAAAGTAAAAGGAAAAACAAATACAATGCGAAAAAGTTTTAATGGGACCAAGCAATTTTGACCACAGAGTAGAGTACAGAGCAGGGGTCACCAACCTTTTTGAAACTGAGAGCTACTTCTTGGGTACTGATTAATGCGAAGGGCTACCAGTTTGATACACACTTCTGAAATAACAAATTTGGTCAATTTGCCTTTAACTATATGTTATCATTAATAATTAATGATATTTATCTATGTAAAGACACTGATTATGTTAATGATTTCTCACAATAATTATAAACAATGTTTAAACAAGGTAGGAACCAGATAAATATGAATATGCAACGCGTTTTTTCTATAAATCTCTGCAAGTATTTGCATTTTGAAATGATCATTTCTACAACATTTCCACTTGCCACTAACAATTTTTAACAAATCATAAGATTTTACTGAACTTGTCACCAAATCTGCAGCATTTTGTTTAATTATCATGTGTTACATTTAACTGCTGGTGAATGATGCAGTGGTAATGCATAAAGTTTGGGAACTCTGTGTCACCTTTACAGTGAGCGATGAATCCTGTATGTCTGACGATCATAGCAGGAGCTCCGTCGGTAGTCAGCGATACCAGCTTTTCCAAAGGTACCTTTTTCTCCGCGAAAAACTCCTTCACCGTGTTAAAGTTGTCAACTCCACTCGTAGTTGTCTTTAGCGGCAGTAGTGTCAGAAGTTCTTCTGACTTTCCTCCCACCAAGTTTCCGGGTGCCAGTGTGTGGCCGTTACTAAGCAACCGCGAGTTAGCAGCAGTAAACCAGGGATAGAGGAAGAAAGCTACCAAAATCAAGCCTCTGAATTTAAGATGTTATTCTGTATCTCTGGATAATTATTCCGATTTCTGGCTCTGCTTCTTCGCTGTTGCTTAATTTCGGTTTACCAGCGATAAGCAAGGCAACAAAACGATGTCAACACAAGAGCAACAAGCTAACATCGGCAAAGTCCTCAGCTTTCTTCGGGAATGGGACCGCAGTGACATGAGGGTCCGCGGTCGCATGTTGAGCACCTTTGTGACTCAAAACACGGGGAAGACGTTTTATGAGCTGGAGCTGGAGTTTGCGCAGGTCGCCAGTCTCTTCCTAGCTCGACTTACCACATGGATGAAGCTCACGTATCCTTTATTCAGCCGTGGTCTAGGAAAACTGTTAGTTTTGGACATATATATTTTGTACAGCTCAAAAAAGTGTCCTGGGTGGGGTTATAAATATCTCCAAATAGTAGTGGGATTCGTGTTTCCTTGCATAAGTCCTGCAGGATTTGTTTTGGAGACTTAAATGAGGCTTAATTTAAGTTTTCTGCTGGTTAAACCTGCCCTGGTTTGGGACTATCTTGATTTTGAGGGGCCTGCATAACATGTGAAAACAACACATTTAAATCAGAAAACATATTTTTGTTAAACACATCTAGCATAAAATATCAGAATAAAGTTTTCATTATCTGCCTGCACATGTGAGAGTTTGATAAAGTATGAGTTAGGACCTTGGACTTCTGTGGATCGGATGAAGGATATGAGTTCCTGCTCTTGAATGACAGGGAAATCAACTGGACAACCCTTTACTAATACTTCAGATACATGTTAGGCACCTTCCTGGGACTTCAGCTGAAAGCACTTGGGATTTTTCTGTCTGCTTCTTGTCAGTAAGTGACCCAAAATGCGGGACTGTAATCTGCAAAAAATATCTTTAGGCCAACATATGTTTTCTTTCAATAAACCATCTTTCTGATTTGATCAGTGATCAGTATCTGATGAACTTCCTGGAGGATGGGGGAGTTCTCACTCTGCTGGACATTTTGAGCCACTCTCAGAGCAAAGACGATGACAAGGCCGGAGCCATCAAACTTCTACTCACTGTCTCAAAAGCAGGTCGCAAGTACAAGGAGATCATCTGTGAAAGTCACGGTAAATTTCACATTTGTCTGTGGCATATGTAAATTTATTTTAGATTTTAGATCAGATTTTAAAACAGCCTACAATATAGTTTCTTTTATCAGTAATGCTTCTTTTGCTTTGTTTCCAGGTGTTAAAGTCATAGGCGAGTGCCTGTCCACATCAAACAGAGATGAAACCAAAGAGGCAGCGTCGGTCCTTTTGGAGTCCCTGTCCCA